CATTGTTGCTCGCACAGAATGTGCGGTGACGGACCGCGGGGGCAGTCTAGGACTTATGCACACAGACACAGATAACGCGACAAGCGATGCTTGCTCATTCATGCACACAGCACGGTTTTGTTAAATGAAAGAAGATCATGCCGCTTCTGAGAATGGCGGAAACACCGGCAATCTATTCATAAAACACACACTCGGTAGCACCTGGGGCCCTACTATCGGCAGTAACACTCACCTGAACTCGGCACATGGACGCATACCTAACCGCCCACGATAAAAACATCGCTGAAAGCCGTGCCGCTGTGCGCAAAGAGGACTTTGATACAAATCGATTTATTTCCTTTTATCTCGCATACAGAATCTATACTCTCTCTGACGAACGTCAGCGTTCCTGTTTATCTGTCGAGATAAAATTTCTCTTATACTTTCCAATTACACATTTTTTCTACCGTAAGGTTGCCTTGAAGATAGAGGTATGAAAGTTTTATACTTTATTATTTGCAGTCCAAACTTGCATACTACTTTAGTCTGTACTTTAGTAGTACTATAGTCTGTTTAACTGGTGACAAAATTTCAAACACACACACACATCGCGCACTTAAATGCGCATGCGTAAATTCAAAGAACTCGAGTTGTATACCGAGATTTTCCGACTCTCCCTTCCCCGCCAAGAAAACCTAATCGGTCTTAATTCCGAACCGCGTTGCATGTAGATTGTTCTTAACAGTAAAATCAAATAGCGCATCATGGTTGCTTCGCAAATCTCAGTCAGTATAGTGCGTGACCTAGTCACCTTACAACCGTACAGCAGCAGCAGCAGCAGCAGCACATAGCATCTTGATGGGTGTCACTTTCCCCCGGGCGTAGATGGAGGGTGCCGTTACGTGGCAGCACTAGTCACTTCGTACACTTCAAAGTCCAAATCTTCCACAGAAAGATTCCACAGTCATACTTCCGTGCTAGACATGGCCTTATTTCCCTAACCCTAACCCCACATCACGTGACCCTCCATCTACGCCCGGGGGAAAGTGACACCCCCATCTTGATGGCTATTGCCCCCGCAGCACAGGCGGGTGATCCCCCTAGCGTTTACTCGCATAATTCTCAACACGAGATCGCACGTGTGACCATCGTGAACGCACCAGAGCGAATCTTCCTGTCGAAATAAGTTTAAATGCACTCAAATAGACGTTAATTCCCTCTAAACATTCGCCTAAATCCTAAACGTTCGCCCAAATCTCACCCCCCCAACAAAAAAATTCAACAGAAACACAGCACCACGATATATTAGCCTAAATAGCCGATATCTGCGAATTCTCGTGCACTCGCGGACCAGATGTGAGCGTATAATAAGGCAACACATACACGTGTTCATCGCCAGTCCGTAAATGCGCAAGTCTTTGGCTCTCGAACGGGTAAGCCCTTAGCCAGTTGCCCCCCTCCCACTATTCACTTTCCTCGGACATTCTTCGGATTTCTTGATATATATA